TGGCCCAGTGGTGAGAATCTTCATTTTCTTGATGTTGAGCTTCAATCCATATTGAAGGCTGTAGTCCTTGACCTTCTGCAGCAAGTGTTTCAGGTCCTCCTCAGTTTCAGCAAACAAGGTTGTATCTCTATGGGGTGGAAAACAAAGATAAAGGAGGCTGCAGTTCTATTCCTGAAGCCCAAGTATCTTTGATGTGACCTAACTTACACATAGGGAACTCTGGTGAATGTGTAGACCATAGCAAGTGGTGTTGTGAACCCAAAAGCTGTGCATCTCTAGCAATTTGAATCCATGAGAGAAAGATGGGCAGTCTCCTTCTGTTATGATTTACAGCCCAGGGAGATTCACTATATTTAGAATTGGCCCTATTGCCATGAGTTTGAGTGGTTTTAAGCCACTGCTTTGGAGTACGTAGAAGTGTGGCCCAATTGGTCAAGCATTCCCAAATCTTTGGTATTGAAAATTCCAGGAAATAATTTTCTAGATGGTGATTATAATTATCTGGATGACATGCTAATAGTAACTAAACACCAAACATTTTAAACGACATGCAAGGAGTAATAAAAAGTTTCAATTCACAAATGTCCTTTATGTCTCAGCTACTGGGAAAGTGGCATAACAGACAGGGAAAACTCCAAAATACTCTGCAGTCCTCTTATTCTGATGCCTCTTGTTGCTGGTAATGTGACCATACCTGCACTTTATATTTGTTGACATTCAATAATATCCCAATAATTTATCTTAAATGCTAGTTCATCAAAGGCAATTGCAGACTGCCCATCATCCTGCAGATCAGTGTTTATCAGCTCTGGCTTTAATTTGGGGTCACCTAGGGAGCTTTAAAGGACCTCTGGTGGTTTAGTGTGTAACGTGTAGACTGCTCACTTAAAGGTCAGCAGTTCAGATGGGATTGTCTCCTCCTATAAAGATTGCAACATTTGAAATCTTAAGGAGTGTTTTCCTGTGAGCTGGAATTGCCTAGACTAAAGTGGGTTGGGTTTTACTAGGGAGCTTTCAAGTAGACAGACCATTTCAATCACTGTCTCTGAGGTGGCATCAGGATGTCTTAAACTTCCCAGGTCATTTTAGTGTGTGATCAAAATTGAGATGTGATGGTGTAGGGGCTTTTTTAAGGATGATTGAAGGTATTTCGCATAAAGTGAGAGAAAAGAAAGTAGAGAGAACCTTTCACAAAGCTCTTTTTGAAGAACTTACAGGAATACTGATTTTAGAGTTAATAGGCAGCAATAGCCACATCCGGTACCTCATCACTATCTGATCAACAAGCTGCTCCAGGTTTGATGTGGTCTTGGCAATTTGCCATGACAGTAAGTTTATTGGGTGAAATTAACCAAATGGTCAGTGTGATCATAAGACAGCAAAGGGAACTCTCAGGTAAGTATGTTGTTCATTCATTCCAATGTTAGGGTAGGGAGAATTGTTACTTAGCACTTAGTAGGGATGCAGGTTGGAATGCATTGATTTTCCTAAAATACAGTGGTTTACAGTTATCCTACAGAGGAGAAAGCTCAGAGATGCCTAGGGATAGTTAATGACTGACTCAACTATCAGGGTGAATTGGACCAGGCTGCAGGTCTGTTGGGTCCAGTATAGTAATCTGTCAGATTTGGCCGTGCACACACACACACACACACACACACACACACACACACAAGAAGGGTTTGAAGACTGGAACAGTCACTGGACCAGGCACACCATAGTGTCTACATCTTATCCTGGAAACATTTTTTCTTTCCTGTCTCATGCTAAATCCAAGTCCAGGAACAAGAAAATAATGTTCTTTTCCTTACAAGCAAACTCTTTTTAGGATATTCAAATAAGTTTAAAGTTGGAATTTTTTTCCCCTGGTACTTCCTGAGGCAAAAGGATGTTTTGAACAGGGAGAGGAAAAAAGAGGTATGGAAACATGTCAGTACGTCATTTCCGATAGCATGAAAATCACTTCTGATTTCTATCCAGGTAGGAGTCATTTTTGCTATCACCTCTGCTATCAGCTCTTCTTGGATGTTGCTTCCAGCAGCACAAGACAGGAAGTTGAGGGAACACCAGTGGTCGGGATCCACAGTGAAAACAGACATGATAGAGCAATGGGTTGGAGTTGGAAAGACAATATACACAATAAAACACAAAGTACACAAACAAATCACAATGTAAATGAAAAGTTGTATAAAACACAGTGTACATGCACGGAACACAATGTATATGACTTACTATATGTAAATCAGTAAGAAATAATAGAAGGGGGGAAAACAAGCAAACCAATATAGGTAGGAAGGTTAAAGATGCCAGTCTAAAACTATTTGGAGTGAAAGAGGAACCTACTCCCACTACCAAAAGTCTATAGTAGACATAATAATGCATTCATTGAAAATAAATAAAAGAAATGTTATTGCTCTGCTTAAATTTCACCATGCCCTTTCTATGACCCTTCTCTCATTCCAATTCATTTCAAAGGTGTCCCTTCCTGACATGCTCAGTGATTTTCATTTATTTCAACCTTAAGACCATTGTGCTTGCTGTTCCTCTACTCAGACTGCTTTCTTCCTTGTTCTTTCAAGTCCTTCAGATCTCAACTTGAAGGTAGCTTCCCTAGAGAACGCTACCCTGAGCACCCTGTTACCAGTTGTTCCTGACCATGCCTAGCAATAGCCTCCTGCGGCCTTAGTTCCTTCATGGCGTGTAAAGAATTGGAAAACAACTTGTGTACACAAGACTATATGCTCTGGTGGCCTAGTGGTAAGGAGTTGAACTTCCAACAGAAAAACATACGGTTCAAATCCACCAGCTGCTCCAAGGGAGATAAGAAGGGACATCTCTGGTAAAACCACTGGATGTTCAGCTATGAGTCATTTCAAACTTGATGGCACAGCAACAACATATGCTCCACAGTGGTTAAAGAACTCAGCTGCTAACCAAAAGAAAACAAAGATTCTCACCACTGGGCCAACTAGCAGCATCATGATAGATGGTGAAGAGATTGAGATTGCTAACAGCTTGAGTTTGCTTGGCTCCACTGTCAGTGCTGTTGGTACCAGCAGCCAGGAAATTAAAAGACAAATTGCACTGGGAAAGTCACCTGTCAGGGACCTCTCCAGAGTACTGAAGAGCAACGATGTCAAGCTGGAGACTAAGGTGCACTTTATCTGGGCCATAGTCTTTGTAATTGCGTGCTATGCATCGGAGAGCTGGACAGTGACTAGGGATTATAGAAAGAGAATTGATACCTTTGAGCTATGGTGATGGAGAAGAGTGTTGAATATACCAGGGGCTGCTAGGAGAACAAAACAGGTTCATCCTGGAGAGGGTGAAGCTGGGCTGCTCCTTGGAGTCAAGGATTCTGAAGCTTCATCTGATATACTTTGGACATGTTGTAAGGAGGGACCAGTCCTTGGAGAGAGACATCATGTTTGGGAGAGTGGAGGGACAGTGCAGGAGAAGAAGATCCTCAATGAGATGGATCGATTCAGTGATTGGAGTGGTGGGAGTAGGTGTGTTGGAGACAGTGAGGTTGGCACAGGAATAGAGCAGCATTTAGGGCTCTTAGAGTACATGCGGTCACTATGAGTCGCAGGTGACTTGACAACACATAACAACAACCACCAATAGATCAGTAGTTCAAACTCACCAGTGTCTCCACAGGAGAAAGATGAGGCAGTTGGCTTCCGCAAAGACTGACAACTTTGAAATCCTGTGGGCAGTTCTACTATGCCTTCTTGGGTCATTATGAATATAACCAACTCAAAGGCAGTTGATGTATATAAGCTCCATGAAAGCAGGAACTTTGTTTTATTCACTGCTGTATAACTAAATCCTAGGACAGAGCTTGCCTCAGGAAATACTTGTTGAATGAATGAATGAGTAACAACATAACAGCAATTCATTGCTGTTGAGTTGTAACCAGCTCTTAGCTGATCTTCCATCAGGTTTTCAGAAGCTGTAAATCACATGGGAGGAGATTGCCCATCCCAAGGGTAGCTAGTGGATTTGAATTGTCTGTCTTTGGGCTCACACCACAACTCCTTATTCAGCCGGCCACAGGTTTATGAGCTTAGGGAAAGAATAGAAACCTTTGAATATGTAAAGAAAGTACAACCTAAAATGTAATTTAACTGTTTTCTCATTGAATCGCTTCTATATCTTGTTGTTGTGGTTGATTGTTTTCGAGTTGAGCACGACTCATAGCGAAAGGCCTAAGGCCCCTTTACAACTATTGACATTTATTAAAGTTCATAGTTTCCGAAGGCATGCTATTTAGGAAGTGGATGATGCCACTCCTGCTTCTAAACCTGTCGTAGAATGTTATTGGTTTAGTTGCCTGCAATGTACAGCGACCCTATGTACAGCTGCTCTGAACCTTTCCCTGCCCTGAGCCAGTCTCACTAATTCCGACACACCAACCCCCATTGCCCCAATCACTGTATCAATCCATCTCATAAAATTGAGCTCTAACAGGTACTCAGATTATCTTATTTGCTGCCACTGTCAAAATATCAACTTGTCCTTAGTTGTCAGGGCTTTTTTTGCCATGTGTAATTTATTTTAGATAGGCTGGTTCAGATTCGGGTCTGCATCTCCTCAGATATAATGGGGATAACTTCTAGTTTAATGAAGGGTTGAGGTGTGCTGGAGCAGGACTTCGGTGTAGGTCTGGAAACACTTCTGCTGAGTGTAAGTTTAGACATAGATTGAAATCTGGGTAGAAACCAAGAGGCTTTGGCATAAGTGGGAGAAGCACTCCCATCTCCTACCCCAAACCCTATCCACACCCCACCCTCCATTCAAGGCCATATCCCTCGTGATTTGTTAGTTGACATCTAGCTACCTCCTGGACTCTAATGCCTATAAAACCCCAGAACTCAGGGAAAGGGGTTTGTCCTGTGGGCACGTCCCTCCTCTCCTGCCTCGAGCATAGGTGCCCATCTTCTGGAACGTGGCGACATGCCCAGCTAATGGCAGCTCTCTCCCCCCACAGAGTCCTGGCCTGTGATCGTGCAGTCCCGGGGGCTGGATGGCATGCTGGACCCAAGCTCAGCTCAGCGTCTGGGCCCAATAAAGGCTTTTCCAAAGGAGCAGCTTTCTGTCCTGGCCACACGGAGGTAAGTGCCTGAGAGGCATCTCCCTCACACGGATCCTGGACTTGGAGCTGTCGGGAGCACAAACCTGCCACGTAACAGCTGGAAATTTAACCCCAGATTGAGGAAGGGGCACTGGATCCAGTTGCTGACCCCTGGACCTAGGGTGACTGTGAGCGACCCAGGCAGATGTGGCCTGTAAGCTGGTTAGGGAGGCTAAAGGCTTTGCTCTCTGACTGGCCCCACACCTTCCAGGAACCGGCCCACCTCTAAATAACAAGGTGTAGGGTGTCAAGTAGACAGCATCTGTCAGACCTCATTTGCAAGCCTCTGCTTTGTCTGAGTAGGCAGCCTGGTAAGATGGAAAACCCCTAATCACTCTCCCCCCATTTTGGCCAGCCAAGCAGGGTGGGTTGGGGTGAGAGAAAGCTCTGGTGCAGGGCCAACCGGGCTTTGAGTTTAATTTCTGCCAGGTATATAACTGTGATCAGATTATGTAGTCTTACGAAGCCCCTGTTTCTTCATCTGGAAATTGGGAATAATGCATACCTCCCATGGGGTTGTTGTGATAGCTAATGACATAATTATGCTTAACAAATTATAATGGTAATAATTATTATAGTCTTACCTCATTCATTTAAAAATGTGCCTCTAAGAATTCAAACCAGTAGGCTCCATTTCCATTAAGACAGCCAACATACCTGGAAAGAGCTCTGTAAATCCGCAGTTGCCTGCATGGCTGGTGCTTCCTGCGGTGTGTTTTTTCATGGACAGGTTAAGTACTTTTGGATCCTCTCTAGATGGTATTCTGGAACCCTGTGGCATTTGAGTTAAGCATTCAGTAGCGATGGGTTTAGTTTTGTGGAGGGTTTTTAATGATAATCAGAGCACTGAACAACCAGACAGAAAAGCAATTAAATGTTCCCAGGTTTCTAGATTTGTGACATCAAAAAGGTAGAATCTGTTGAATAGAATTTTCATCCCTGCCCCACTACTTGCTGTGGAGTCAGTTTCAACTGAAGGCGACTCCATGTGTTTCAGTGTAAAACTGTGCTCAATACTGTTTCTAATGGCTGATTTTATTTTTATCAGAAGTAGATTACCAAGCTTTTTGTCCCAGGAACTACTGTGTAAAGACTTGAACTGCTGACCCTTGTGTTAGCAGCCAAACGTTTAGCATTTATGCCACCCATGGATGTCAAGACACATACCAGGACTGATTCTCAGAGAAGATGTGAGACTTCAGACTTCTTTCCTTAAAACCAGACTGAATAGCAGCCAAGTACCCCACACTGATTGCGTCTTCACTAGCTGCATAATCCCTGGTAACAGACCCTCAGCCTACTGAATCTCAAACTGTGGGCATGGGGCTTAGCCTTCTGTGGCATAACAAGCCCTTTGAGTGACTATGATGCTTTCTAGTTTGAGAACCCCTAGACTTGTTCATTTCTGACTTCTCTTCCAGGCCACACTTGCTCCCATTCAATCCTACTGGAAGATGCTGGCAGAGGGGCTGGGTTTTAGCCCATCAATACTTGTCTCTCACTGTGGTTGTACAGGATGCCTCACTGCCTTGGAATATTGCCCTGGGATACTGCCCTGGGAAAGTGGAGAAGCTGCAGACTTCCTTTCACACTCTACGCAGGCTCCAAGAACTCTAAGTGTCCAAGTCTTTAAAGTGAAGAGAGCGGTCAGTTTACATTGAGAGCAGAGGCCAAGTGTAAAGCAAGACATAACCCTTGACCCACTCTCAGATGTAGGGAATGAGGCTGAAGAAGAGGAAACTGGGCTTCTTCAGCCACAAGAATTTCCTCTCCTGCTAACAGTCAGTGACCCAGTTCTCTGATTCAGTCTTTAGTCTGAGAACCACTAACAGCTTTTGGCTCCTCTCTTTCTGAGGTAGGGATGGTCTTTCTCCGCCATGCACCTCCGCAGGCACTGTTGACAAGCCTGCCAGGATATCAGCCCTCTTAGCCACAAGCAAATGTATGCGCCCTTCCTTTGATATGCATTCCTGAAAAGCAGAACATTAGGCCCTTGATTTATAACCAAAAGGCTGGCAGTTCAAACGTACCCAGAGGTGCCTTGACATAGAGGCCTGGAAATCTGCTTCTGAAAGATCAGAGCCTTGAAAAATATGGAGAGAAGCTCTACCCTGCAGACATGGGGCTACCATGAGCTGGAATTGATTGTAGCAACAGGTTTGGTTTACTAAGGAAGTGTGTTTAGTTCTGCCCACCAACGTCATCACTTATGAATGAGGCCAGACACTATGAAGATTGTTCACTGAGTATAGACAGTTTCTTTTACCATTAGTATGTGTGAACCATTGGAAATCTGCAGAATGTGTCACAGGCCCAGGAGAGGACAAAAGGGCAGAGCTGTCTGTCGATGCTGTTATTACTGTGAGGTGCCTTTGAGTTGATTGATTCCAACACATGTCAACCTTATAGATAACAGATTGAAATCTTACTTGATTCTGCACCATTCTTACAGTCTCTGCAACACTTTAGGCCATTGTTGAAATCACCGTCCATCTCATTCACTGACCCTCTACTCTCACAATCTTAATGTCTGTTCCCCCATCTCACCTCCAAATCTCAAACATTTCTTTTGTGTTCAGGTTGCTGTTGTTGTGTGCCATTGAATTGCTTGCAACTCATAGCGAACCTACATACAACACGTCTGAACCCTGCTCTATCATAAGCCAATTTCATTGTCGCCAACACACCTACTCCATTACCCTAATCACTGAATCAGTCCCTGTCATCCAGGGTCTTCCTCAGGAATGAGTAAAAAGAAAAAAAATTTAAAAAAAGAATAATTGTCCACTGAATGGAATGTGTTTGGTTCTTTATGTGTGAGCTCCTAATTGCATTTTCCCCATGTAATTATTCAATTCACAAGCTCTGGTTGGTGAAACCGCAGAGAAGATTGTCATTTATTAAGAAGAAAGGCTTCAGAAGTTGTTCTTAAAAATTAATACGAGTCCTATCCTAGATCGCTTTATCCAAGTAGAGAATGTTCTTTTTTCAAGCTGTACCCTCTGCATTATTCTGCTAGAATAGAAAATACAGTTGTTTTCTTGTTCTTTACATTTTTATTTTTTGTCTAATGACAATTTCTATAAGGAGACATTTAAATATTCTTTTACTGTGCAAAAATCACTGATTCTTGCTGGTAGAAACAGTCTGAGAGAACTAGATAACTTAAGAGGCCACAAAGACGACATTGGGACATATCCTGTCACTAAGAGAATATCTCTGCCATTAAAGAGCACATAAATTAAATGCTTTAAAATGTAGAAAATGGGGAGATTTTTGTCTCATTGAAGTTAGATAAAGCTCTTCAATGAAGGTAACATTTAAGTTGGGTATTAATAAACATGAAGAAGCATTTAACCAGCAGATGGGACAAGCTGAAGGGTACAAGGAGGAAGCTGAAAACTTGCCTGGTATAGAACCAAGGGCAGTGGTGGTCAATCACAGAGCAGGGACTGCCCCTGAGGAGTTTTGTTTGCCTGGAATTCAAAATATGTGAAGGAAATAGCGGGAGAGGGAAGATTCCTGACTGACTGACTTGCTAGATAACGGGTTCCCCACTGGGTCCTTTGAGTAGGCATGATATTATCAGGTCATTTGTCAATGACAAGAAATTTGGATGACAGCTACTTGGTCAATTAACTGGAAGAGATCTGTGTTTGTGCCCATTCCAGAGAAAAAGTGAGCCAATAGAATTTGAAAATTACTGAACAGTATCATTAATATCACATGCAAGTAAAATTTTGCTGGAATTCTTTAAAATGCTTGGAGCAATACATTGATAGGGAACTGCTAGAAATTCAAGCTAGATTGAGAAGAGGCCATGGAATGTGGAGTAGTATTGCTGATATCAAAAGGATCTTGGCTGAGAACAGAAAATATCAGAAATATGTTTACTTGTGTTTTATTGACTCTCCAAAGGTATTCAATAGTTTGGATCATAATAGCTTATGGGTAACATTGGAAGGAAGGGAAATTCTAGAATACTTAATTGTGCAAATGTTGAACTATGCGACCCAAGATGCAATCATTCTAACAGAACTAGTGAATACTACATGGCTTGAAATCAGGAAATTGTCCATCAGGGTTGTATCTTTTCACTGTATTCAATCTATATGCTGAGCAAATAATCTTAGCAGGTGCACTCTATGAAGAATGTGGCATTGAGATTGGAGGAAGACTCATCAACAACCTGTTTTATGTAGATGACATACCTTGCTTGTTGAAATTGAAGAGGACTTGAAGCATTTACTGAAGATTAAAGACTACAGCCTTCAGTATGGATTACACCTCAACACAAAGGAAACTGATATCTTCACCACTGGACTAATAGATAGCATCATGATAAGTCGAGAAAATATTGACGTGTTTAAGGATTTTATTTTATTTTTTTTTTATCCACAGTCAGCACCCATAGTAACAGTAGTCATGAAATCAAAAGACATATTGAACTGGACAAATGAGCTGTAAAAAACTTCTTTAAAGTGCTAAAGAGTGTGGATATCAGTTTTAAGACTTGGATGCACCAGACCCAAGCTGTAGAATTTTTCATTTTTTCATATGGATATGAGAGTTGGACAAGAAATAAGGAAGAACAACGAAGAATTGATGGCTTTGAATTGTGATGTTGACAGAGTATTGACTATAACAGAGACTGACCAAAAAGCAAATACTTCTGTCTTGAAAGTGCAGCCAGGGTGTTCTTCAGAAACAAGGTTGGTAAAGTTTCCTTTCATATACTTTGGGCATGTTATCAAGAGGCGTTAGACTTTAGAAAAGGACATCCTACTTGGAGAAGTAGAGGTTCCGTGAAGGAGAGGAACATCTTCAAGGCTGTGGATTGGCACAATGACTTTAACAACAAGCTTAAGCACAGTGGAAGTCATGAGGATGGCACAGGATTGGGCAAGCTTTCAATTTCTTTACATAGAGTTGCTCAGTTAGAGTTGACTCGAAGGAGAGCAAAACTATAATAAGTAAATGAAGTGGCCCGCCTAGTGAGTATTGGAGAAAGGGGAGGAGTTAGGACATCTATTGGTAGGGGCATCAACCACACAGAAATTTCCTTTGACTTAGAAATTCAAAAATAATGGTGACCTTATTTCCATCAAAACCTTAGGGTTAGTCCCTTTACTTTCATATTTCCCTGTAGTGAGTGTTATTAGTGTTGATATTAAAGAATGAATTTTAGGGTTTTTTTTTCCTTTGTCTTTGTCCACATAGTCTGTGATAGAGATACCTTAGCACTAAAAAGAAGAAAAATATTAAACAAAGAAGGACAAAAAATAAAGAGCGTGAACTGAAAAAATCAGCTGAAGTTGACTGGATGTTTATCTGCAAGACCATTAGTCAATAAAACTGGTAGTAGCCAAACACATGGTTATGACATTACTTCCTCTGAATGGCTGACTGACACTGTAAAGAATGTAAAAGATTTAGAGTAAACAAAAGAGTTTTCCAAGTAACCAAGATACCGCCTTGGTGTTTCACCAAAGAGCTGCCTATTTTCAGCTGAGTAAATTCATGTTATTAAGATGAGTGCAGATAGATTAGAAAAAGCTGTCTGTGGTCATATGCACAAGTATAAATGAAAGCATGCACTATGGTGGAAAGAAGTCAAATAATGAGCTTTTTGGTTGTCCACCATTTACTTTTTCATTCATTTTCCTTTCGGTGTTTGAGAGCTTACTACGTGCCAGGCACTGCACAAAACTTGATTGCTGTTGAGTCAACTCTGGCTCATAGCAATCCTCGATTGGGTTTTTAACACTGTAAATCTTGATTGGAGGAGCTCATACTTTTTCCTTAGTATAGCTGATGAATTTGAACTTCTCATCGTTTGATTAATAAGTACAGCATGATACACATTATACTACCAGAGCCCAAACATGCTAAAAACACAAATGGCACATCTTCTAAAGGAGCCGCAAGGGGTTAGGCATGTAAATGATTAATCATAGCACCAAGAGATGTGATAGAGTTGTAGACAAAGACATGAAAGACAAGAAGCTACAATATGAAGAGCAGTGTGACTAGTTGCATAGGAGACTGAAACAACTCTGCCCTCCAGGATCTTATAGCCAGGGGACAGAGAGTGTCCATTAATTACCATGCTTTGAGAAAAGCCAATATCCTAGGGGAAACCATGGATGAAGTGTGCTCAGAGAAGGAATAAATAGCAATAGGAATGAAGAAGGCTAAGTCTTTGAACGTGATCTTGAAATGACTCAGAATCAACTGAGCACTCATTTAATACTAACAACAGATCCTGTGAAATCATGCTTATTGTTCTGTTTATCAATCAGGAAACTAAGTGATTAAGCAGGCTTCCTCTTCTAACAAGTAACTGAGCTAGAAATTATAGCAAGATTTTCTAATCTCAGATGGAATACAGGGGCGTTTTATTACACTAATTTGATAGGAACGAAAGACACACATAGACACACACACACTTATACCCACTGAGGTTCAGACTTGAAAGAGCTTACTTTTGATGGGTGTAATTTGAGAAGGTCTCAAGGACTAGGGGCTAACTGAACTAGGGTGACAAGTGAGTAGGGCATAGAATGACCTCTGAGAGTTAGGAGGAGAGACTCAAGAGATAGGATTGAAACTTTGAAGAACACTCCATATAGGAAATGCCTCTAAATTTTGAAGAACACTCCATATAGGAAATGCCAAGAAGACCCGGAGAAGCATCACAGAGGAGGTGGATTTTATGTCCACAGATGTGAATAGGCACTCACCAAGACTAGATGAAGGGCCCTTTAGGGGCCAAGCTAAATCTCCCTTTACTCGTCCAGTGGGTGGTTCCCCAGGGGTGATTGAAGTACAGTGAGGAGCTTCGTCCAGCAGATGCTCCAAAGGGGTTTGCACTGCTTTTACATTCTAGATAGTTCTACATGAAAACAACTAATAAAAGGAAGAGGCTTGCTGAAGAATGGAAGAGAAAGTGCTGTAGGAAGTGAGGAAAGATGGCCAGAATGATAGACCGGCCTGTTTTGCATTCTATTTTCTGTGTAGTTTTCCTTATACCTTTTAGTTCATTAGGAGCTCCAGAGGCATAGACCATAGTGTGTAATGCTGCTAACCAAAAGGGTGCATCTCTCTGGCATTTTGAATCTGTCAATAGCTCTAAGAGATCAAGATGATGAGTCCCTTCCTGTTAAGATTTACAGCCTCAGAATGCCAGTGGAGGGCTGCTTTGGGCCTTAACTGATTTGATGGTAATGAGTTTGAGAGGGTTTTTTGGTTAATTTTTGCTTTTAACTTTAAGCCTACTGGTTAACTTTCTGTGAATCAAAGTACAGATGAGAAATCCTACTCTAACTCACAGACTAATGAGAAATTTGAGGGGAACATACTGGAGAGGTTTAAAAACGTTACACAAATAGGACCACCAGCAGCACATTTACCTGTGAGCAGAGAGGGGACGTGGCTGAATTAGATGAATTCTGTGAGAAAGTCACAAGGCCGCCATGTTTCTTTTCTTTTGGTTTTTGTTGTTGTTGTTGTTGTTGGTGGTGGTGGTGGTGGTTTGGGGAAAAGATGATGCTTTGCAATTTCATGACAAGGGTCCAAGGACATCTGTTGTTAAAGCTGGCCTAGCGCTTCTGTCTAGAAGAGGCACTCAGTGATAAGATGTCCAGATATGACTCCAGAAGTTGTTGGGCCTGTATCTGAGCAGCCAGTGTAGGGAGAGGTGCCATAAACTCACCCACCTCCTCCCGGACATCAGCACACACACATGTGCCCTGTTCACTGCAGCCACAAGCTGGCAGTCAGTAATGCACATGATTGTGTTAGTGGTACACAGGGAGCTGTGCTAACCCAAAAGCCACCTCTCTTTGTTGGTTTGAATCCACCCGCACCTCCTTGGAGGAAAGATGGGCAATCACTTTCATAAAATAGTGAGCACTGGAAACTCAAGGGAGAGTCGTCAGTTATGACTCAGTTTCAACTGCAAGGTGTTTGAGGTTTCTTTAGTTTCCCTACCTAGAAATGGCCATTCCAAAAAGGTTACTGTGACACCTCACAGTCAAAAGTATCCCTTCTGTGAGGTCAGGTATAAGGGGCTCAGAAACTAATTTCCTAGCACAGCATTCTGTATCCTAACTTCCCTCTCCGATTTGTTGCAGGTGCACAGCGTAATGTCCATGTTGTTCTACACTCTGATTATAGCGTTTTTGATCGGCATACAGGCAGAACCACAAGAAGAGAGCAATGTCCCAGCAGGACACGCCATCTCCCAAGCCCACTGGACTAAACTTCAGCATTCCCTCGACACAGCCCTCCGCAGAGCCCACAGTGCCCCGGCTGGGGTGATCGCCGCCAGGGTGGCAGGGCAGACTTACAACATCACCGTGGACCCCAGACTCTTTAAAAAACGCAGACTACGTTCACCCAGAGTGCTGTTTAGCACTCAGCCCCCGCCTGTCACCATCGAGGCGCAGGACCTGGACTTGGAGGCCGGTAGCGCCGCCCCGTTCAACAGGACTCACAGGACCAAGCGGTCCGCCGAATCCACTCACCCCATTTTCCACAGGGGGGAATTCTCCGTGTGTGACAGCGTCAGCATGTGGGTTGGGGATAAGACCACCGCCACAGACATCAAGGGCAAGGAGGTAATGGTGTTGAAAGAAGTGATCATTAATAACGTTGTATACAAACAATACTTTTTTGAGACCAAGTGCCAGAACCCCAATCCCGTGGACAACGGCTGCAGGGGCATTGACTCCAAGCACTGGAACTCATATTGTGCCCCCAATTACTCCTTCACCAGGGCACTGACCTTGGATGACAGGCAGACAGCCTGGCGGTTCATCCGGATCAACACAGCCTGCGTGTGTGTCATCAGCAGGAAGACTGGGAGAAGAGCCTGACCCGCACTTCCCACCCCTCCCCGGCCAACCCCCCACTCTCCTGGGCCCCTCCCTACCTCAACCTGTAAATTATTTTAAATTATAAGGACTGCATGGTAATTTATAGTTTATACAGTTTAAAAAAATTATTTATTAAATTTTTTGAAGCATCCGTGTGTCAACCCCGCCATTCATTTCCCTCCCCTTCACGGGATGACTGGCAGTTCTTGGAAACAGGTAAGTTCAGTTGTGCACCCCTAGAATCCATCACTCAGTTCTAGCTTCCCCTCAGGCTCACCTGGAGCCCTTCCCCCACCCCCAGACAGCACTGTAACTTCAGGGAAGGAAAACTGGTTTCAGATATTAGCTAAACCAGGCATGATTAAGAAGGGAAGTCGGCTGGATTGCAACTTTGTTTTTTGCATTCCAGAGCCAAAGCTACCTAATCCTTGGATTATCTGCCCCACTGCTTGGATCCACCAGCCTTGATTGCTTTACTCCAGAAAGTTTGTGCAGCCTCGGCAGAAGGCAAATCACTGGGAATGGGGCTCCAAGAGGCCCCAACTGAATCCCAGAGGGACTTGTACAGAGAGGAAGAGGCTTGTCCCAAGGACCTTGGGGATGCTTTGTTTTTCAGCTTTATGCTGAAAACTAACTCAGAGAATCCTGACAAAGTCATCTCACAAGACCTGTCATGGTAGATCTGATTTCATGTTAAAATTGCCTTGGTAATCGTGGCTCCTCCTAGATTTTTCTTCCACTTGCTTCCTGCAGAAAAAAATCTCATTCCTTAGGAAGGCTTTAGTATCTCCAGCACCCTTGCTCACCACCCACTGACAGCTCCAGCCACCTTCAGTGGCCTCAGCATCAGGCAGTGACAGGGAAGCCAGACACTAGCTTGAGATAAACTCTTGAGAAATTGAACATGTTCAAAAGAGCAAGGGGCTGGGAGAAAAGGCAAAGATAAAAGATGCCAGAACTAACAAATTATTGAGGAGATGGGTAGGGTGGAACACAGAAGACCGTGGGCCAGACAAGAAGGGAACAGGGGTCTTCTGCACAGAGAGTCTTCAGGTTTCTTCCCTGACATTGGGAAACCAAACGGAGGAATAGTAACAACATGCAGATGTGTGTGATGATGGGGACAAAGGGGCAGAAGATGGAGGTTTGTCACCTCAATTTTGCCAGCACTTTCTAGCCTCTATGAAAACCGACATTCTCAATAAAAGTTAAATTGAGCCAGTTGCTGTCTGGTGACTTCTGATTCAGCATGACCACATGTGTCACAGAGTCAAATTGGGCCATAGAATATTCAATTACTGTGGCATTTCTGAAGAAGATCCCTGGGACTTTCCCCCATGGCACTTATTTTATTTATTTATTTTTAATAATTTTAATGAACATTTACAGAGAATTTGGATTTCTCTTCATTCATTGCTGCACTTCTCTACCCGCCCAGCCCTCTCCCCCCGCCCCCCAGTTCGCTCCTCTCTTTCAAAAGTAAAAGAAATACTTCCTCCCTGGTACACAATCCCCCCCGCACCCCTCCCACTGCCCCAAGTACATTCCACTATGCAACCTTAATTGTGGACTCGTGATAACTATAATACCCTATCATATATCGCTTCTAAATTATTCACTCACTCATCTGTTTCAGTGCAGTATACACAATTTATCCAGTTTTTCTGTCTTTACCCCCATTTTATAGCAGTGGCACCATGCAATATTTTTTTATTTTTAAATATTAAACTAAATTTAATGGTAAGACTAATACAACTGTCTGTTTAATTAGCCCTTGTTTTGCTAGTGAACACTCCCTACGTTCTTCCTTGAGAGCTTTCCACCTGAAGTGAAACCTTGGACCTTTTTACTTTGTGTGCTGGTGGTAGTATGCACCCATTCCAAGGCTCGGAGGATATTAACATAATCAAATTCAGTTAAGAGGGTTTCTGTCTAGAGGGATTTTTGTGTTTCTGACAGGTATAAAACCCTTAAAAAAATTCAGGCACATTCCAGATTCATGAAATCACCAACACATCTGTTTGGGTTCCAATCTCCGTTCTTCCAATTAGTTGTCAAATGCTTGACCCTTGGCACCACTCAGGGATGCCTACAAATGGAGACTTGTACACCAATGTTCATAGCAGTGTTACCATCACAAGAACATGGAAATATCTCAAATGTCCAACCAAATCCAATGGATTAAGAAATTATGACATTCACATGATGGAATACTATGCAGCATGTAGGAGCAACAGTTTTGTAAATTACTACCTAACTTGGGAGGGACTGGAGAACATTATGCTAAGTGAACTAACGCAGTCCCATAAAGACAAATACTGTATCAGACTGTTGTTGTAGAACATGTATGAGGATCCAAGTGGGGGAAAGGAAAGGGGGAAGTAAAGGAGTGAGGATGGGGGGGGTGATTGTTAATCACAGGGTCACACAATTTAATGGGTGGAGGGAGGGTTGGATAAAAGAAATGAGAAAGATCTGGTGTGAAAAACAATATATACAAACTTTGTAAGTAAACTAGTATAAAATAAAAATTTTCTTTAAAAAAAAAATCAAACAAACAATAAACCTAGTGCTATTGAGTGGGTTCTGACTCATAACTGACCCTCCCCAGCTGACCCTCTGAGGCTGTAAATCTGTATGGGAGGAGACTGCCCATCTTTTCAAAAGAGCAATTAGTGGATTAGAACCACTAACCTTTGGGTTACACATGACACACATGACATCACTAGGGTTCTAAAGCTTTGGGTTTTTTTCCTTTTAATGCATTTATCAACACTGCCTATACTGAGAGCTTTTTTTTTTTTTAGAACTATGTTCTATCAAGGTTTTGTTTATTGACATTTTAATGACAGTTTATAAAGACTTTGGATTTGTATGATTTGTATTCATTCATTGTTGTACCTTTTCCTCCCTGCCCACCCCTCCCCCCAGTTGGTTTTTCTCCTTGAAAAGTAAAAAAAAAATAAATAAAAATACTTTCATTATTATAAAATTCCCCTCCCCAGTCCACTCCATCACGCAGCTCTCATTGCCATGAAAATAATACCTAATCGTATATTACTTTCAAACAGTTCTCTCCCTCATCTGTTTCAATGCAGTATACATTATTTATCCCCTCTTAGTTTCCCCCAAACCCTGATGTCAGCCCTGCTTTACAACAATGGCATTATGCAGTATTTGTCCCTTTGTGACTGAGATATTTCACTCAGCATAATGTCTTCCAGGATCACCCATTTTGTATAGTATTCATAAGTTCCTTGTTTTTCAGTGCTGCATAGTAATCCATTGTGTGAATATACAACAGCTTCTCTATTAATTTGTTGATGAGCACTTGGGTTGTTTCCAGTTCTTTGCTATTGTGAACAAAGCCATAATAAACATGGGTGTGCATATATCTGCTTGGGTAGAAGTTCTGGTTTCTTTAGAGTGTATTCTCAGTAGTGGAATTGCTGAGCCAAATGATATTTCTATTTCCAACTTTTTGAGAAAGCGTCACACTGCCTTCCATAGTGGTTGTACCATTTTACACTCCCACCAACTGTGAACAAGGGTTCCAATTTCTCCACAACCTCACCAGCATTTGCTGTTTGCTGCTATCAAGAGCTTTTTAAGGAGAGACAGACGGTGACGGGGAGATTTCTGGCACCACCAGGGGCAGGCCTCTTCCTAGCCTCACGCTGCCCTCTTCCCTGACACTTTCATTTTGCATTTTCCCTGAGGCCACATTTTTTCCCAGACATGGCAATTTCCCCCCATTCCCCCCATCCTCCTACCCCTACCCAGAATGAAATGCCTACTCTGGTTTGTATGAGAACAGGCCCAAATTGTCCCTCTGATAGAAAGCAAATGGCCGTATTCATTCCCCCTGCAATTCTCACTGTCTTACTCCACCCCCAACCCAACCCAAATAGGGCAAATTAGAAACGTAGAGAGCTTTGGCACGAGAGACATTTGATTAGGGGGAAAGCATGATGAAATGTGCCCTGTTTTCTTTCTATCAAAGCTACTGCAATGGGAATAAAGATTTATGTTCAAGAAATACCAACCAGAACATTCTGTGCTGAGATGCTTTGGTCAGATAAAGGCTGTGGAGAGGGAGCCCTCCCACTGACCTGTGTCTGTGGCTTTGTATTGGACTAGAGTGCCAGGGGCCGCAGCCTCCCTCACCCCTCCTGCAAACAGTTCCTGAGGGCCCTCTCCCATAAGGCTGGACAGGCTGTTGGGGTCTGTATGTGGTTAGAGGGATGAGAAGCAGGACAGTGACGAAGCTCCCAGCCCGGGAAGCTTTATTAGTGAGCACAGAGAGTCCTGGAGAGGTAGTCTTATCACACACACACACACACACACACACACACACACACACACACACACCAGTTGCTATCAAGTAAATTGCCATTACTTCTTCCACATGTGCTAAGCTGACTGTGTTTTATAGTGTTCTCAAGTATGTGATGTTTTAAGATATCCCTAGATGGATTTGAACCATCAACCTCTTGGTTAGTAGTCCAATGCTAAACCATCTGCACTACCTTAGGCTTGCAAGGCACATGTTGTTGTTGTTGTTAAGTGCGTCAAGTTGAGTACAACTCATAGCAATGAACCCTATGAACAAAAGATATGAATCCTGTTCTATCCTGCACCACCCTCACATTACCTGACACACAAGAGCCCATTGCTGCAGTCACTGTGTCAATCCACCTTGTAGAGGGTCTTCCTCTCCACATGAGACATCTATAAGTGTCTTTACCAGCTTGGACTGACTAAACGGAAGGGTTAGGATGGAGACCAGGGACATCTCGTCTTGTTATGGGCTATTCTTCTGTCCTGTGTTGTAACAGAAGGTGCCTCTCACCCTGATACCACCACCCACCTTCTCCAAAGACAAAATCTGCTCTAAATTGAAAGTCTGGAGTCCCAGCGTGGGAGCCAATGTTTTCACACAATATGAGAGGATATCAGTTTGGCTGAACAGAGTCAAAGCAGTCCAAAAACAACCTCCA